GTGTGTGTGTGTGTGTGTAGGCAGGCAGGCAGTGCATCTTGTAGCCAAATGAAGAGCTGGTGCAAAAGTTTTGTGGCAGGGTCCTGGGGCCATGTTTGGTGCAAGAAGTAACAAGGCGGCCAGTTGGCAGGAGCAGAGGAGAAAGGGGACACAACAAACAGGGTCAGCGGGAACAGACCCCACAGGGCCTGGGGGCCACGGCAAGGGCAGTGCCACGGCCCCACTTCGAGCTCAGCTCAGCTACAGGGAGGAGGGCAGAGCTGCGCGGCATCATGCGGTCCTGCAGTCATCAGGAAGAGAGTAGTCACGCTGGATGTGGTGGGCAGTGGTCAGATCCTGGCTGAGGTCTGTAGGAGCTAAGTGCAGCAGTCTGGCACAGGCCATCCACTGGGATGACGGCCTTGGATGCCCTATGGAGTCACTCAGAGTCCGAATCTACTCCACAACAATGGGCCTGGGGATTCGGGGCCCGTTTCTGGAATGCCTTCCTTACTTGCTGTTCTTTGTGTCTGCTCTTCAAGAAGCCCTGGTCATGCACGGGGTTAAGTCTCAGGCTGCTAAGCACAAGGTCGGTGGTTCAAAGCCACCAGCCACTCTACAGGAGAAAGGCGAGGCTGCTGCAGTCTATTCACAGAGGCAGGGGGGAAGTCAGTGTGCATTTATTCACAGAGCTGGCAGGTCAGCGGAATCATAACATCTGCGAGCCCACCTTGCCCATCTCATGAATGCCTTTGATGCCAGCTCGTTAGTCGTGTTACAATCTCTCGGAGTGGAACTGCCTTCCTATCTGGGAGTACAGCTTACATCCCAGGGGTTACGTGCAAGGACCTAGCTGCCCCAGCCTTCTTCCGGACCAGATTTTTATTCTGAAAGAAAACACCTTTCTAAAGGAACCGCCTGAGAATCTGGGTTCTGGTTTTTCTCAAAGCTGCCTCTCTCCTCTTGAGTGAGAGTTAACTATAACATAACACAAGACTAAATCACTTCACCTGTGTAGTTTACCGCCTAAGTCTCGGAAACCCACAGGGCCCATTCTACCCTGTCCTATTTATGAGTCGGCACCAACTGGGCGACCGTGAATGAATTTGAAGTTAGTCTTAAGCAAAACGCAGAGCGAAATGACTCAGCCTCCATGCTCTGGGAGTGCATTCACAGGAGAGGCTAGGGCAGTAAAGGCTAGAACGGTGTTAGCTTAGTGTCTGCTCGTTTTCCTAGGGGACCTGTGGGTCAGCAGTCGAATACACAACCAGGGCTCCCGTTCTGTCCTTTAGAGGAGCCCTGGTGGCAGAGTGGTGACCAGTTGGGCGGCTACTCACAAAGGCAGCATTTGAAATCACCACTACCAGACCCTTCTCGGGAGAAAGACTGGGTTCTCTCTTCCCACAGTTATCAGTCTCAGACACTCAGGGCCAGTTCCACCCTGCCTTACAGGGTCACCAGGGACTCCACAGCAGTGAGCTTAGTTTTAGTTTTACAGTTGTGTGGCTTGTGCGTCCCTGGAACGTGATCTGCTCAGTGGGCATCTCTGCTTGACTGCCCTGCACTGGGCGGAGGGGCTGCCCTGGGCAACTCCTTGGCCTACCGACTGGTGACAACAGGAAAGGGCCAGGACAGCGGGAAGCGCAGGATACAAGAGGGAGGTGGGGTAACTTCCCTTCCAGGCCATAGGCTGTGCTGGCCGGTTCCGACTGGCACACAGAATGCAGAGCCCGGCTCTGGGGTTGAAACCCTGCGGCTTCAGTTTCCCCATGTATACAATTGAGTCGATCGACGTGTTTGCAGAAGACACGTCTATCCTAAATTATCCTGAATCTGAGACCCAAGTCCCCGTGGGCCTCTTGGGTCCAGAGTTTCCAGCCCAAGGTATCCTCCAGAGCTGGGTCTGCCCAAGATCTCAGATCAAAGCCCCGCACCTTGTTTACGATGACTGACGGCTTTGCGGGCCAATGAGAACACACGGCCAAGCCTGGGGGCGGGGCGAGCGAATCGTAATTCGCCCCTTAATAAAATCAGGCCAATCAGCGTCAAGCGCCGCATGTGAGTGGCGGGGCCAGTGGCCGCCGCTATCTAAGCATGCGCAACCTCTCGCCTGAGGCCTCCTCCCGCCTCACGCGCGCACCCCGCCGCACAAGGGGCAGGGAGAAAGGGGTGGACACGAACCTTGGTCCCATCCTGAAAGTCAGGGAGATCTCCTCGACCCTCTAGTATCACACGCTTTTGGATCCCGTCCTCTCGGAGTCTTGCGACGATATCCGCCATCCTCCTTCCCCCTCTGCTCTCTTTCGGCAACTTCCGGAATCTGTCGGCAACTTCCGGACCTGCTTCGGCAACCTCTAGCGCTTCGGCAACTTCCGTGATAGCGCCATGTTGACTGCGGGCCGAAGCCCCAAAGAAGGAAA